AAACCTGTAGCCACCACCACCCTGTTGGCTGCAAGGGAGGTCCAGCAGCCCCCTCAAGAGGCTCTGTGGCTGGAGGGGTCTGGCTTCTTTAGTTCTCTCCTGCACTCCTTCCCCTCAGCCACCAGTTCCACCACGGCATACCTCTTAACCACAGGACTCTCCTGCCCCTGGCTGAAATGTCACTCAAGGACAGGATTCTCCCCAATGCCTCAGGGACCTGCAGCTGCTCTCAGGTGCCCCATGACATGTGAATGGATGGCCTGAGCATGCCCTTCACCAGTCCCTGCACCTGTCCCTCCTGGGACAGCCCCTCCAGCACCTCCTTGCACCTGCTCTCCACCTGCCTGTGGGCCCTGAAGATGCTCAAGATGCAAGAGCAGTCTGTGTGGTGTCCAGGAGCCCCAGGGCCTGGGAGGTAAGTGGTGGGAAGTGGGAGGGCAGTGGAGGACAGTGGAGGGCAATGGAGGGCAGTACAGGCTGTTGTGCCCAGGAGCCCCATCTGGCTTAGCCGCCTTGGGTATGGGCCAGGCAACCCAGACAAAGCAGAGGTCCAAGGACAGGTGCAGGCTGCTGTCTCTCCCTGCACTGTGTCATGCGGAAGTGGACACCAGAGACCCACCCAGCAGGAGCAGAGGCCCAGGTCTCTTTCCTGTTTTCACTTCGTGCTGGTTTCAGAGCCATTTCTTCCCAAGGTTTCTGAGTGTCTTGAAAGAGTGACCTGCCCTTTGCCCATCATTTCCATTGCTGGACCACATGGGTGTCAAATTAATGGACAGTGAATGACAGATGGCTGTGTGTCCATCTGTCTTGGGGTTGATTTGCATGTTTCTGGGAGTCTCCATGCTTTCATTTCATGCACACAGCTCACAGTCACCTGGGCCTCCCTCTGCAGCCGCAGGAGTGTTTGCCTCCACACCAGAGAGCTGTGTGTGTCCATCTCTACGCAGCCTGCATTTTGGGGTCACTTTCGGTCAACGTCTTGGATCCATCTTACATCCATCTTCTCTGATGCTGGCCAGCCATCCTCCATAGAGAACCAGGGCTCTTCTGGCCTCAGGTAGCACCTCCTTCATGGACCCTCCAGGCTCACCTTCCAGTTCTGGCCCCACAGATGCTCATCACTCACCACTCCTGAAGCCATATCTGTGATTTAGTGGCTACCCCAGCAGACACTTTTTGGCCCCACTTTGATGATTGGGGCTGGGGTCAGGGCTCTGTGTGTGTCACTGGGCATGGGACTCAGCTGGAGTGAGGAATCCCCTCATGAACGCAAGTCTTCCCCAGCTTCCTAAACCAGGGTGTGTGGAAGGGTTAACCAAGGAGTCCAAGGGCTCTCAGGGTCTGGTTGCTGGAAGTTCCTTGCTACAAAGGAGAGTCTGCTAATGAGGCTACTTTCCAGGAAGGCCATTCAGCAAGTGACTGCCAGCTCCGAAGCAGACACTAATGAGAACTGGCGTGGCTGCAAAGAGCAGACCCCTAATGAGGATAACCAGTAGGGACCCAGTGAGATGGCCTAATGGCTCCCATGAATGTCAAGGGCAGAGCTCTGTGGGGGCCGTGACCTGGAGTCCAGGTAACAAGGGGGTGCTGTGCTAGGGTGGAATCTCTCCCCAACCAGAAAGAGAACAGGACAGAAACTGCTAGAAAAAAGTCTGGAAAATTTAATGCTCTTCATGGTGATGGACTGAGCAGGTCTAGCCTCCTAGCAGAGATCACGACAGGAGGGATAACAAGCCAATGACTGTGTTGAGGAGCACTGATGAGTGACAGGGGAGTGGCACTGAGGCTGACAGTGTCTACTCTGATGAGCATCCAACTCAGTCTCTTCCTCTGAACAGAGCTTTCCAAGTGGCCTTTGGGGCTGAACCATTTGCACCTCTTTTCAAGAGCATCTGTGATGCTAATAGATGTGGTCATCGCTGCACCTCAGGGGGGTCGGTGTCCAAGAGGTGCTTGAGCTCTGTGTCCTGAGAAAGCAAGGTGGGCATCCTAGCTGCCTCTCCCACCTGACAAGAGAAGCAGGGCTTGTGCCCAGCCTGTCCCACATTAAAACCCTTCACCAGTCGCCCCCAGCCAACACAACCTGAGACACCAGGGTGCGTGGTGAGACACTGAAAGAGCCGGGACCAGGGAAACAAAGGCCACTGTAAGCCTGATCATTTCATGGTTTTTTTTTTTTTTTTTTCAGTCAAATGTAAAAAGGACTTAAGTGGTCAACTGAGAGATCATTTTTGATGACAAGCTGACATGCAATTTGGGGCAAACATCTCAGAAAGATTATAGAAAATTGAGTGGCATTGCTATAGTGTCTGCTTATTTATTTGAAAAGCCTCCTCAGCACACATAGCTAGCAAAAATGAAAAACAGAAAAAAAAAATTGATCTTGAGTTCTAATTCATTCTTGCAGTAAAATTATCCATAGAATCATGAGCAATTGAACTATGGATTTCATTAAGGTGTGTTTTCAATAAATGTTTCTTTTTAGCCTTGACAGTCGCTTATAAAAATGTTCAGTAATTAATGTTGCCCTAATCAATTGTTAGTACATTTTATATATATAAAAAAGTTGTAATACTTATTCTAGAATAGTTTCAAAAACAGAACATTTGATCACAGGAGATTAAGTACTTTATCTTCAATTCAAAAACATATTTTGTGGCAGATAAGTTTGAGAGTGTGAGCTACAAGACTTTCGATCATCTGGGAGCAATGGTACAGCCCATAATCCCCACTGCCTGGGAGGCTAAGGCAGGAGGATCAAAAGTTCCAGGCCAGCCTGGGCATCTTAACAAGACCCTGTCTCAAAATAAAATTTAAAATAATATTGAAAGGAAGGAATAAAAGAAAGAAAGAAGTAAGGAAAAGAAGGAATGAAGAAGGATGAAAGAAAGCGCTTCAAAATGTAGCTCGATGGCAGAGTCCTTGTCTAGCATGTGTGAGTAATGCAAAAAAGAAACGATTGCTATCCCAGCAGCTCAGGAGGCGGAGGCAGGAGGATCAAGAGTCCAAAGCCAGCCTCAGCAACTTAGTGAGGTCCTCAGCAACTTAGTGAGACCCTGTCTGTAGAACATAGGCTGGAGATGTGGCTCAGTGGTTGACAATACTTTCAACCATGAAAAGTATTGTATCACTATAAAATTCTGTAGGAGCAGAAGGATGAAGATATGAGATAACAGAAGAAATAACGCAGGCTGGGTGGTGGCTCAGTGGTAGAGCGCTTGCCTAGCATATGTGAGGCACTGGGTTTGAACCTCAGCAACACATAAAAATAAATATTAAATACATCAGGGAGGGCTGGGGCTGTAGCTCAGTGGCAGAGCGCTTGCCTAGCACATGTGCAGCACTGAGTTCAATCCTCAGCACCACATATAAATAAACAAAATAAAGGCATGCTGTTCATCTACAACCACAAAAAAATTTTAAAAATAAACGGGGCGGGGGGGGGGGGGGAAAGGAAATAGTGTAATTTTTTATCTTTTTTTGCGACACTGGGGATTGAACCCAGGGTCTCACATGCCCTGGGTAAATACTCTGTCACTGGGCTACCCTCCCAGCCCTTTGTGACCTATCTCCCTTAGTCAACGAGTGGCCAGGATTGCAGGTGTGTCACTCTCTCAGGCTGACATCTGTCCCCAGCCATCTGTCCCACTGCAGCCAACCAATTTCCACTTGTTAATGAAGAGCTGGTTCAACTTTCTTTTTCGATGACAGATGAGTTAAAGTTAGAGTTAACAATAGATGGGTGTTAAGTCACTGTGTTGTTAGGTTCCATTTATTGTATTATAAAGTGTTGTGGTAGTTTGATTTTAAAATGTAAATATTTACCAGAAGCCAGAAATCACATCCTTTGGATGTTTGAAAACTTACTAAATACCAAATTAAGAATGTACAAGATGGGATACATATTTTTTCAAAATTTATTTTTGTGGGGGTACCTAGAGAGAAAGCCCTTTCATACCAATAACTCGGCAACTTTTCCCTCTCCTTGATGTCTACCACCTCCCAGAGTGGCCCAGGGATGGAGGCCAACCTGGAAACTGCCCTGTGGGCTGTCACTCATGGGGTCTGAGGGGCCGTGGCTACCCTTCCCTGTGGATTCCAGAACCCTTGCCCTTGGACTGGCCCTGCTGTGGTGGCCGAGTTGTGTGCCTCCTCTTTCTGAATTGGGGCTGGGGACAGATGTCAGCCTGGGAGAGTCACAGGGAAGGATTGGATCTGTAAGCACTTTGACCATGAAGACACGACTCCTACCACAGGTCAGAGAGGCAGGACTACCTGGGTTAGGGCCAGCATCTCCACTACTGAGGGTGGGCATGGCTGTGCCCTGCAGACTCAGCCCCCATCCTTGACCACACCACCTCTCCCATGCCTTCTCACTTGACCTGAAGGAGGCCATTTTCACAGAGTCACGGTTTATTTCTCAGAGAGTAGAGATGTTGTATCGGGGGAGGCTGAAGCCCAGTCTGAGAAGGGGCTGGGGGATTAGTTCCAACCACCAAAGACACAACTTTGGTTTTGACTCTCTCCACCCTGCTCTTTTCCCCCCCCCCCCCCCCCCCCCCACTCCTGCTCCTCATTCTGTCCACTGTGTGTCTGGTTGGCCTACGCGCATGGCTGCCCTGGTTGCCTATCCCTCTCACCTGCCCCTCCACCCCCAGCAATGAGATGAGAAAAGGTCTCTCCAGGGAGGGACATCAGGCTCAGAAGCTTCCTGAAGCCCCAGGGGCAGGGCGGCTGGGGAGGGAGTAGATGACAGCATGGACAGAGGCAGGGCACGGGGAGGCTTCCCTAGCTGACAGCCCCTGGGATGGGGCCAGCTGAATTGATCTTTAACTCCTTCAGCAGCAGAGGGCGCCCCTGAGTGTGGCGGCGGAAGGCGGTGAGCAGAGGCAACCCATCAACCAGCAGCGGGTACCATGAATGGGGTAACCAGCGGTGTGACTTGGGTGCAGACCCTTGCCTTCTCTGAGCCTCAGTTTCTTCATCTGTGAATGGAGCTACAGTGCGGATCCAGCAAGAGAGGAGGCAGTGGGCAAATGTTGAATGACATCTGACCCGCTCTTCTCAGGGGGGTGGATCCCTCTTCTCCCTCCTGCGGGAGGCTTGTGGCTTCAGTGGCCCTGGTCCCTTGGAGCCTCTTCCGTGGCTGCACCCTCTCTTTCTTGCCCGGCTGGAGGGCTGGCCTCTTCCCTCCCTTCTCCTATGCCACCAGTGCCTGCACGGCCAGAGGGTCCAGGGAAGAAGACAGAGGAGGGTGGGGAAGCTGCCTCGAGGGTGGAGGACGATGGACAGGTGGGTGACAAGGGGTCACACGGCAGCTGTCTGCTTGATGCTGTGGAAGCTGATCCTTGTGGGTGACGTGGGGATGGACATGGCCCGGGCCACAGGCACTCGGAGAGAGTGATGGTCCTGCCAGCGGTGCCATCTCTTCCTCACAGCTGAGCGCACCTGCAGGGAGGGGAGACTCAGTGGCCCACCAGGCTGCCTTGTCCCCTACCCCCACCCCCTCACAGAGCTGTTAAAGAGGGGGGCAAAACCGAGGTCCTTCCCTGACCCCATTGCCTCCTTGCTGCAGGCTCTCTCTGAGGCTCCCCTGTCACTCTCCTGGAGAAGCCCAGCCCCCCCCAACTTCCTTTGTTCCAAGTTACCCTTCTGAAGTGTCCAGTTTCCTTTGGACACTCTGCCACCCCACTCCTGCTCCCCAGCAACTGAAGAGGAGGCTGTGGCTCAGTGGTAGAGGGCTCGCCTAGCATTGTGAGGCACTGGGTTCACTCCTCAGCACCACATATAAATAAATAAATAAAGGTGCTGTATCATCTACAACTAAAAAAAAAAGAGCAAACAGAGGCTTTGTAGACCAGCCCCTTCAGCCCCCTGGGCTCTATTCCCTCAGGCCTGGGAGGTGACCCTAGTGCACATGTCCCTGGCTTCCTCCTCCTTAGGAAGGACTGTCACCCCCTCCTCTGCAGCCCTCACCTTCCCTGTGCAGCACAAACTGCCCGAAACAGAAAGAGAACACCTCCATCACCTCCATTTATTTTTAAGCCTGGTCGGACCTGTTCTTGTTTGTACTGAAGGGAAGAATTCTGTCAGATGATCATCTCTTGCATTCTAGTCCAGCACGTGGCTGGAACAGAATCAATGTTACATAAATACATAAATATCCATTATTACGTGGGCATCCTGCCACACGCTTGTAATCCTAGAGATTCATAGAGATTCAGGAGGCTGAGACAGGAGACTCTTCAGTTCAAGGTTCAAGGCGGGCCTCAGAAATTTAGTGAGACCCTGTCTCAAAAAAAAAAAAAGAAAAGAAAAGAAAAAAAAAGATGGGGCTGTAACTCAGTGGGAGAGTGCTCCTGAGTTCAATCTAGTACCAACAAACAAAAATGTCAGTTGCTTGCTTCAGCAGCTCCTTTCCCCGCCGCCCTCTGGACTGCAGGGCCAGAGTGGTCTCTGGCCTGGAGCTGGGTTTCTAGCCTTCACTGCTGGGCTCTGCATCCAGGCCCATCTTTAATGGACCGGCACAGCCTACATAGGTGCCCATCATTCACTGCAGTTGCAGGCCACGTGGCCTCAGGAGGGCGCTTGTGTCCATCTGGGGTATCTGGAAGCTCTCAGGCCTTAGAGTGTGTCTGCAAATCCTCACCCACCACTGCCTGGGTTTGCATCTCCCTGGTGACTCACTTGGATTCTGGGTCTCCTTAGCTAGCCAGGTTTTACCTGCTGCCAGGCACCGCCAGAGTCTACCCAGGTCATGTGTTCTTTTCTGTGGAGGGTGGAGGTTACGGGCTGGTCTCTTTTCATCTGAGTCCATAAAGTAGTGATTGCATAGCGAAGCCTCACCTCTTTCTGGAAGCTTCCTGTCACCACCTCTGCTTTGGCATCAGTATCCCATGAAACCCTGCAGCCTGGGCACCCTATTCTCCTGGCTCCCCAAGGGCATGCATGGGGCCCTGGCATGCTATTCTGGTCTGCATAGTTGACCCTCTAAACTGGCTGCAGGCCCTACAGGAGGAGTCCCTTTCCCCTCCTTCCTCCAGGGCAGAGCCGAGCAGAGCCAAGGACTAGACCTTCCTGAAAGGCTGGGCAGCTTGACTGAAAACACCCCAAAGTGGAGTCTGAGGACCCCGAGAGCCCAGGCTACCCAGAGGGTCCCACTTCGTACCTCTCCATTGAAGAAGCAGTAGAAGACAGATACGAAGAAACCCTAGGAAGGAAGGAGGGAGCAGTCAGGACCTGGCGAGGAAGCACTCTGCCTGGAGGGTGGGGTGGGGGACAGGTTGGGCGGGGGACACCGACCCAGGACCCCAGGGGACAGAGCTGGAGGGGCTGCAGCCCTTCAGTTACAGTATACCAGGTCCAGGCTGAGTGAGGGGTGCTCTCTGGCCTAGAGCTGGGTTTCTGGCCTCCTCAACATTTTGTGGCCTGTCCCAGGGTGTCAGGGTTGGAGCCACCCTGAATCCTCAGAGGAAGTGCTGGGATGCCTGAGCCCTGAGGCGGGGATGATGAGTAAGGCCAGGACTCAGGTCCAAGCTGGCGCCTGGGGCCAGGCGGGTTCTGAGTGTGTGCGCCAATCCCTGTCTCTGAGCATCCAGGTCAGAAGAGCTCCCTGCGGCTGGGGTGCCCACCTGGAAGGACTGCAGGAAGGAGTTGAAGTAGATGAACACAATCTGTGACAGGTCGTCCTCACCAGGATTGACGAAGAAGAGCATGTACGTGATGCCCAGCAGAGGCAGGAGGACCAGGGTGGCCTTCACCGCCTTCCTGGGGGTGAGAGGGTGATGAGAGTCCTGAGTCCGCGCTGCAGGCAGGGCCCCACTCAGGCAGAAGATGGGGCCGCTCTGCCCGTGCTGCTTCTGGGAGACTGAGCAACTCCCTGGGTGAGCACAGAGGGCTCTGCCTGGAGCAGAGGAAGGCCCAGATGACCTCCTCATTTCCCCCCTGCCAGGGTCAAGACACCCAGGTATTCACATACCTGTACTGAATTGTCTCTGATGTGGTGGAGGCTCGTAATTTTGTCATTAGGATTCTGACAATGTTGAACAAAAATACAAAATTGATCTGGAAGGAAGATGGCAGAGAGGGAGAAACAAAGGACCCTGAGTGGGGGCTGAGCTGAGAGGCTCCATCTCCCCCTGGCACCTGCTGAACCCCTGCCTCCTCCCAGGCACACCCCCCGCCCCCACTCCCGTCACCCAGCACCTGCCCAGGTCCCACAGCCTTTGCTCCTCCCTGGACAGGACATGGAGCAGCCTCATGGGCCTGCTCTCTGCCCCCAGCCCCAAGGGAGGAGCATCTAAAGGTGGTGAGCCAGAGCACAGCAGCTGCTCTTCTGCAGACACTTCAGAAAGCTCCCAGCCCCTGCCCCACTCAGGTACCCCACAACAGTCAGGCCTTGCAGTCTGCTTCAGTCCTTGCCTCTCTTGGCCACAGGGTCCCCACTTGTTGACTGAGGGTCTCTGAGTCCCTTGCACTGTCACTGTTCCAGGCTGGCCTGAAGTCTTATCAGCCCCCCTGGGCGGGGGTGCACTGGCCAGATGAAGCGATTCATAACTCTGTGGCCCAGTGGAGGACTGATCTGTCACCACCCTGCACCCTGAGCTGCAGAGCCTTCTTGGCATCCCCAGGTGAGGAAGATGAATGAGCTGCCCGCAGACTCAGAGGCTTCTGGAAGGGCCTCATTCATCTTCATTTTTAGCCCTCCCTCAGCATCAGAGCTATCCCAACCTCTGGCTCCAACTGGCCCATTGGGCTCCTGAGTCAGCTTCCTGCCACGTGAGTCTCCTGTTGGCTGCTCCCTGTGGCTGTGTACTGTCCCTCTGTGTGTTCTGCTGTGGGTGAATAGGTCTGTTTGCTGTGTGCTTGTGTGTGTTTGTCTCAGAGTGTGCCTGTATATGTGGGGACACGGGTGCCCCCGAGTTTCTCTTCATCTGACTCCAGGTGCAAGCAGGTAGGAACAAGTGTGAGCAGCCCCAACCTTGGACCCTTCAGAAAATGCTCCCAGGCCGGAGGGAGATGCATATCAGCCCCACCCACCACGTGTGTGCAGAGTCTCCATCAGGACCATCCATTGCTTCTTGGGCTGGGTCCTTCTAATCTCCCTAGGGTTCAGATCCCATTGGTGGTCATGGGAAGACACCATGGGACTCAGAGTGTCCCCTAAGTTGGAGGGTGGCTCAGGGACAGGAGGGCTAGACCTTCCCTCAGTCCTGGCCAGCTGTTCGCATATCAGTGTGTGGCCTGGTGAGCCCTGGGGAAGGGATCTTGGGGAGGCCTTCCACGAAGGTGCCCATGGCCTGCTTTTGCTTAAGGAGCACCTAACTTCCAGCTCCTGGGTTTCTGACCCCTTCCCTTGGATAATGGGGCATATGTCACCTTAACAGATGGGTCATTCCTATGTGATACAAAGAAGTTGTTCTTTTCTGATTCTTCCTGACTTCTCTAGAATAGACTGTTGGAATCAAAATATATTCTCATTTTTATCGCATTTCCTTGAATTAAATAGTATTGGACTCACTAACTTAATTATCCATACACTCTGGTCCATCCATCTGTTCATTCGTCTGTCTATCCAGTCATTCAGTCAACGAGTGGTCACTGAGCACCTCTTGCCTACAGGGTCCTATTCCTTGTACTGAGGCAAGGGCAGGGCAGGGGTCTAGTGTGGAGCCTCTGGGAGGCAGGACCTGGCCCCTCCTCACGCTAGGCAGGCAGTCAGTGATGCTGGCCCCAACCCTTCTCAGCCAGGTATATGCAGCCTGAGTCCTTCTTTCCTCATGAGCTCATTCCTCAGCCTCCCCCTTTGCAATATCTGCATCAGCCTTCTTCCCTCTCTAGGAAGCCTTCTGACCCCAGCCCCTGCCCAGCTCTCTCGATATCCATTTTTGGACGCCATCTTGCCCTACCTCCACCCCAAAAGAAAACTATCCTAGCTCTTCAGTGAGCACCAACAATTGCACCCTAACTTTGTTTAGCTTGGGTCCAGTACGATTTGATCATGATTTAATTCAGTGAACCAACCCACCACCTGCCAGGTTCTGTGCTGGGCACCAGCAGGGAGAGAGAGGCATATCAGGAAGTAGATAGGTAGACATGGCTCCTGTGGCATCGGGCTTGTGGTCTAGCTGGGGGTGGGAGAGGGTGGGGAGGACTTGCATCTTTCCTAAAGGCTCTGAAAAGCCTGGAGAAGTGGCACATGAAGACAAGGCAGCGTTAGCCAGTGAAGGCGGGGAGAGCGTTCCAGGAAGACAAGGCCAGGAGAGAGCAGGGAAGAGCCAGGACCCTCAATGGCGGCCAGTGTGGCTGCAGGTGCTGCTCTGCTGCAATGGTCAAGAGACCAGCGCAGGAAGGGAGGTGGAATCACCTGGGAGCCAGACAGGAATGGCTACCGTCTTTGGCAGTGAGTCCCTGGAGGACCTCCTACCCAACATGCAGTGTTGGACCACAGCAGCGGAGGGGTGCAGGTGAGACCAGCCACCAGAAGAAGCTTCCCCCGAGGAGCTCTGCTTTGCACAAACTGCCATCTATCCTGACTCTGCCTTGGTGGGTCAGCCCCGACTGGCACCTCTGTTGTCCCTGGAGGACCCACCTGTGCTCCCATGAGGCTCAGTGAGAGTGTGTGCTGGGCTTAGCAGTTGGTGTTGATCATCAGGCTGCCATGTGATCTTCTGATTGGGGGTCTGGACATTTTAGTCCCTATCCTCCTGAGCCAGGACAGGCCTGCAGAGGCCTAGCACTCACTAATGTATGCCTAACACCATTCAAGGTACTCTGCCAAGCGCTGCATGACTATTCCCCAATGAGTAACTTTTATAGACAAGTACAATCATTTACTCCTCAGATGCACAAACTGAGGTTCAGAAGGCTAAATAATTCAGCTCTGCCACAGTACTAGCAGGGGATGCTGTCAGGATTTGAGCAGAGGCAATAGGCTTTGGTGGCCTTTTCCTTATACCTACGTCACCGCAAGAAAATGTAGGGCTAAACAGAAGGAACCAGAGACAAGGCGCTGGTACTGCCAGGCTCTGGGACAGAGAATTTCTAATAGGTCCCCACTATAGATCCGAGCTCAGGAAGGCCCTGGGGGTCATCGGCACAGGGTCTTGAACCCCTGGCTCAGGTGCTGGCAGGAGCTGAGGCAGAGCCCCAAGGGCAGCAGTAGGTGTTTGGAGCCCACTAGTCCTCACAGTGATCCTGTGTGGCAGGAACTAGCATTCCTGTGTTACAAGTGGGGATCTGAGGCACCAAGAAGAGATCTCTCCGGATCACATCACAACCTCCAGGGGTGCTCCTGCCCACCTACCACCACCAAGGGCAGATCCAGCTTACTGGTCTCTGAGCCACTGCTGGAAGGTGAAGGCACTATCAAGTCGCCATGCTTGCAGGAAGCCCTCTTTGTTCTAAACCTCTGTGTGCAGAGGCAGGGAGGGAGGAAGGCAAAGAGGGAGGAAGGAGGCAGAGAGACACATAGACCCGGTGCCTTGGCTCATCTGTCCTTATGTGGTTTCAGGCTCAATTCCTGCTGTCTTTAAACCCAGGTCAGGAGAGGAGGGCCCAGGGCTTGGGCAAGTCCTCTGCTTGATTCCGTCCTGGTCTCCTGACTTCCTGTGGCTCTGTACCACCTCTCAGGCCTCCCTGCTCATGCTGCCAAGCTCACAGCTCCCTGTTTCAGGCATTCACCAGGAACACACCTGTCTGCCCCCTGTGGCTCTGCAGAGCCTGGTGAATGATTGCAGGGAGTCCCTCAGGATGGAACTTGGAATGCCTCATTAGTCTAGTTCCCCGTCAGTATTATAGGCCTCAGGAGACTGGTCCTCATTGATGTCTCGAGTTTTGCCTTCCTATTGGAATTTTCTAAGCAGGTGGGACCTGGCTGATCCGTGGAGAAATCCCAGACAATCAACTTCCCTTCTCAGCAACTGACTATGCCTGGGATCCAGGGTGTACACTGCAAAAATACCTGGGTGCTTGTTACAAATACAGATAGCCAGTGGCAGGTTGGACCTGGAGTCTGCATTTGGGACAGGGGCAGCAGGGGTGCAGGTGGGAAGTGAGCTGAGCTAGGAGCCATAAGCCACCATCCATGCAGAGCCCAGGCATCACCAGAACGGACCAGTTGTACCACACACTGTAGAAGGCTAGCCTGGACTCTTGGTCACTTTGCAGGGGTCAGTACCTAGTTTGAGGCTTTCTCTAGTGTCATAGAAGATATCTCAGAATGAAAACAGGATGGCCTGGAAATGTGGAGTTTTAGCCCGGCACGATGGCGCATGCCTGTAATCCCAATGGCTCTGGAGGCTGAGACAGGAGGATCATGAATTCAAAGCCAGCCTCAGCAACAGAGTGAGGCACTAAACAATTCAGTGAGACCCTGTCTGTAAATAAAATATGAAAAAGGGCTGGGGATGTGGCTCAGTACTTAAGTGCCCCTGTGTTCAATCTCTGGTACCAAAACAACAACAAAAAAGAAATGCGAGGTGGGGTGTTAATTTCCCAGGGGGAACCTCCATTGAATGAACACTGTTCCAATTTGCATTTATGTGTCCTTAGGCAAGTTGTTTAACCTCTCTGAGCTTCTGCTTCCTCATCTGTCCAGCCAGGATAAGCCACTGTCTTGAGAGTCAGCATGCGTGGAATACTCATGGAAGGCTTTATGCCCTGGGCTGACCTGATGAATGCCACATCCCTTTCCCATGACAACAACCAGCCAGAGTCAGGCTTCCTGCAAATCAACCACCCAATTCACTTCCCAGAATCCAGAAATAAATGAGTGTGTCTTAGCAGCAGAAATGTAGCCAGTGAAGAGGCAGGAATGCCAGGCATATCTCCAACCAAGAGACAGCAGGCAGGAGGTGCATGACAAGAGGAGAGACCTGCCCCAGCCGCACATAGCTCTACCAGCTACGGGTTCAGACTTTGGGCAAATCATTCCACCTCTCTGTGTTTTTGCCTATAAAATGGGGAGCCTAATTCCTACTTCTCTCTTGCATCAAGGATGTGAGGAATGGAGGTCGTGCAGACAGAGTTTGTGGAAGGGCTCAGCTTGGAACCTAGAAGCACCCATCGGTGCAAATAGCTGGGTCCAATAGCAAGGTGGGCATGAAGCCACAGAAGGGGGCATGCTCAGGGAGGCAGGGAGCTGGGTCTTGACACAGCTCACTTTCCTTTGCTTGTGTTTCCTTGTTACCTGGCCAATAGTCCTACAGCAGGGAGCTACCATTGGCCCCGGTCCAGACCAGCCTTTATTGGCTGGGTCCCAGTTCATCAAAAGCGCTATCTCTGCGCAATGGGTCCTCAGCAGCAGGCAGGGAGGGAACAGATCTTGTGTGGTTTCCATTCACACTGAGGGGTGAGTGACTCACGGCATCACTGCATCTCGGAGTCCAAGGACCATCCCCGCCCCCCACTTCTGACAAGGACTTGCTTCCGCCTCTGACGTGAGTGAAGCCCTGACGGTGGAATTTCAGGCAGTGGGTGAGAAAACTTCCTAGTCATCATCAGTTGACAGACATCAAGGACAATCCAAAGAAGGGGTCCAATGAATCCCGGAAGTCATAACAAGGAGGAGAGTAAGGAAATAGAGATAAACAGTAATTGTCTCCATGGTAGACAAAAGAAAGCCCCACTGAGCACCTGCTGTGTACGAGAGGAGGATTGTGCTCTCTCAGAGGGTGCAGTGGCCCTTTAAGGAAGCCAGTACATACTGGAGCCTGAAATTACCGAGCCTGAAATAAGTCTTACGTAAATGCCAATTTCTTATGGGGCTTTTTTATATGTTTTTTTTTTTTAATGTATGATATATAATGGGTCCTTTTTGCTGCAGCAGCCTCTGCTTAAACTCTATCTTAATTAAAGCTCGTTGTGGATTAAAGATGTGGTGGCAATTATACCTGAGATGCGAATATACTGGCAAAGGGCGGGGAGCTGGACAAGGAACAATTGCTCATTATGCTGCATTTGGGATCTGCCACTCCATGTTGGGGTGGTGGGCGGCACCCCAGAGGGGGTGGCTGGGGGCAGAGAGGAATGCAGGTCTGGGCTGAACAGAAGCTGCACACCCTACTCTTGCCCCCAGCTGCCTGCTCACCTGGCTGTCTCAGCATTGTACATGGCAAGGGGAAGTCAGATGGGGGGAAGGTACTAGAACTCCACCAGCCAGTCCCTGCCTCCACCCAGAGAAAGAGCTTGAGGTCCAGAGAGGAGCAGAGGTCTCCCCAGAGCCTGAAGAAGGGAGAATTGGGTGGTTCTGGGAACTGCCGTCGTGCGTAGAAGGTACAGGGTTGCCAGGGGCTGCCCAGGTGACATCTTTCCATGCATCTCTGCTTGGGTGGATCCTCTGCTGTCCTCCCAGGGCCCCAGCCCCATCCCATTTCCCACTGAGGACCTACCAGGAGCACGAGGATGATGGGGCCCTGGTAGATGTAGTCAACCAGGTCGCCAGGCTCCTTGCCAAACCAGCACCTGCAAAGATGGGGTGGCAGGGGATGGTCTGCTGAGCTGGGCCAAGGGGGACCGCTCCCAACTTGGAACCAGCTCATCTTCCAGCTTGACCCTTCCTGAGCCCCATCTTCAGGGCTGCTCTTTCCTAGAAAGCCTGTGGACAGCCCCAGCGCCAGCCCCACTGATCACCTGGCCCAGAGCTGTCTTTTCCTCCATGGGATGGGTCTGATCTTCCCAGCCAGACCAAGGGAAAGTCTCCTCCTCAGTCCCCCACTCCATTGCAGACAGCAGGACACAGGGCTGGGCATGCAGGAGCACAGGAATGGGGATCTGGGCTCCCCTCAGTGGCCTAGGACCTATCTGCCCGGTGCCACCTGTTCCCACATTGCTCAGAACCTGCTGCTCTGTGTCCAGACACTCAACTACACAAAGCAACAGATGTGGAGGTGGAGCCTCCTCCTGCCCGAGCTGGGTCTTTCAGGCTTTGAGCTGAGCCTTCTGTACCCAGTGGAAGGAGCCTGCTGCCTGGCTGGCCTCACTGGCTGCCAAGGGCTTGATTTGTTCTCTGGGGATGCTGGTCAGGGAGAGGCTTGAGAGTCCAGAGGAAGGACTGGGCCAGGTCTCAATCTGGCACTGCCAGCAACTACTGGACCTCAGGGAGGGTCCATTGACTTTAGGAAACTATGTCTGTCACAACTTCAGAGGTTATCCTGTGTACACCAGCCTCAGACAGGAACCTCCCCTGCTGCCTGAATTTCTAGTCTCTTTTTGAACACCCCCTTTGACAGGAAGCTCACAACCTACCAAGTCAGACCTAGTCTTGGGCACCTTTTACCTTTATGAGCCTTTCCTAATGTTAAGCTCCTGGAATTCCACCACATCCTTACCCCAACCCCTAAATACTCTGCAGCCCCTGAAATGCGATAGAGACCTGCACACAGAGATTGATGGTCCCCAGGGACCCCTCTCTCAGCTGTTGACAGCTAACTTCTTGGTTGTTCCTTGGCTGGCCTGTGGCAGAGCTATTATCTGGGCCATGGCTCAGTGTACCAGACTCTGATGCAGAGAGGACCCTAGGATAGGTCACTGCACTTAGGAAGAGACTGTGGTGTCAAAAAGCAAGCTCTTATGAACACCTATGGAATGGAAGAAAATCTTTGCTAGCTACATTGATAGGGGGTTAATATCCGGAATATATAAAGAACTCAAAAAACATAAAAAAACCCAATCAATAAATGGGAAAATGATCTAAACAGAAATTTCCCCAAAGAAGAAATGAAAATGGACAAGTATATGAAATAATATTTAACATCCTTAGCAATCAGGGAAATACAAATCAAACTACACTGGGATTTTATATCACCCCCGTTAGAATGGAAATCATCAAGAAAACAAATAACAATAATTGTAAATAAGGATGTGGAGGAAAGGTGCACTCACATATTGTTGGTGGGATTGAAAACTGGTATAACCATTTTGGAAAGCAGTATGGAGAGTTCATGAAAGACCAGCAATGGAACCACATGTGACCTAGCTATCCTGTTCCTTGGTATATATCCAAAAGAACTAAAATTCAGCATACTATATAGCAATACATGCATCACAACGTTGATAGTAGCACAACTCACAACAGCCAAGTTATGGAACCAGCTTAGGTGCCCGTTATCAGACAAATGGATAAAGGAAATGTGGTATAGATACACGGTGAAGTTTTACTTGGCCATAAATAAGAATGAAATTATGTCATTTGCTGGTAATGGATGGAACTGGAGACTATCATGCTAAGTGAAATAAGCCAGACTCAAAAAGTCCAGGTTCAAATGTTTTCTCTCATAGGCAGAAGCTAGAGAGAAATAAAGAATTAAAAAGTGTGGGGGGGGTGGGATCCCATGAAAATAGAAGGGAGAACAGTGGAGTAGAGAAAGGGGATAGAGAGGGAATGAAGAGGGATGGAAGGGGAGAAACTGTGGAATGACATTGACCAAATTATGCTATGTATGTGAATGAATGTATCACAGTGAATTTTGTTTTTAATGTGTAACTATAATGCACCAGTTGAAAAAACAACAAGTAAATAGAAGGAAGAACAGTAGAGGAAATGAACAGGATCGGGAGAGGGGAGAGAGAGGGGATTGCAATGGACCAAATTATGCTATAGGCATATGAATACATCAAAGTGAACCCCACTACTATAATGCACAAATAACAACATTAAAAAAATCACACACACACACACACACAAATAAGAGTGAAATAAATACAATTTAAGATAAAACAAAAAAAGTAAGCTCTTGGGGGACCCCATCAAATGCTCATTGATGCGGCCTTGGATAGAGAGCCTGGAGACCTCGGTCTCATCCACAGATTCTTGGCCAGATCTGCTGCATCCAACTCTGAGGAAGAAGACATCTCTATGGCTGAAAGAGCCACACATACGGGGCACTTCAAGGAACCACAGCTCCTCATGGAATTCAACAAAGGTGCCTTGAAACCCACCATGCAAGCATTCCTGGGAATGAGGATATTTCTTCCAGTCTCAGGACACCAGGAAGGAAAACCTGCCATGGCTACAGCTTGGCCTGAGCCCCAGGCTGACCTGTGCTAACCCACAATCCAAATGGCAGCCCATCCTACTTACTGTTCATTCTCGTAGTAGAGTTTGCCAACTGCCCAGGCGATGATGATGGGGCAGGGGATGCCTGAAAGAAGGACAGACACGTGCTGCAGGGGACACATAGATGGACAGGGACCCTCTTGTAGAATTCAGGGTAGGGGACCACAGGGTTCTGGGACTACATTTCTGCTTTCCCAACTGCAGGCCATCCATGGCCCAGGGATGCCCCATTCCTGGATTACCCCACCTTCTCTCTTCTTCAAGCAGGGAATGATGTGCTTTTGGAGATTTTGTGACAGGAAGGTACAACCATCTAGTTTCTCTCTCTCTTTTCCTTTTTTTCTTTGGAACTGGAAATTAAACCCTGGGTCACTTTATTTGACTGAGATGCCCATAGTCCTTTTTTTTTTAGACAGGATCTTGCTAAGTTGCTGAGGGGCTCACTAAGTTGCTAAGGTTGGCCTTGAACTTGAGATCCTCCTGCCTCAGCATTCTGAGTGGCCCGGATTATAGGTGAGTGCTACTGGACCTGGCCAGTTTCTTTTCTGAAGCCAGAGACAAGAGTCTTTGGACTGGTCACTCTGGACAAGGAAGCAGAGCCAGGTGTGGACCATCTTTTGGAGGGACTCCTGGCTTTTTCCTCTGTACCACTGGACCAGGGTGAGGGAAGAGGACCTTTTCAGCAGTGCCCCCTCCCCCATGGGGCCCTGCCACTCCTGGGAGCCTCACACCATCCGATGAAGAGGAAGAGCCATTTGCGCAGATGCTCAGTGGAGTAGGTCATGACAATGGCGGTGTGGAGGTAGCAGCCTTCTACAAACATCCAGAAGAAGTTGGTGACCACAAAGTAGTTGAAGATGGTGGTTATACAGCGGCACCAGACCTGTGCATGGGGCAGGGGTTGTCAGGGACTCCTGGGGCCCAGCAGGGCTGACCTGCCCAGGAAGGACAGCGAGGTGTGGGCCGCCCAAAATGGGTGGATGGATGTGGCATCAAACCCCACTGAATCTCACTCCAAAAAAGTTAGCACTTCCCCAACTCTTTCACCCTCCCCCTGAGACTGAGGGGCCATTCTCCCTGGTGCCTATGGGTTTAACATCTCCCTACTCCTCTCAATGTCTCTTCTTAATAAGGAAGAGGGGAGCTGGAAGGCTGGAACTGAACTGTGCTGTGTTTTCACCGTCACGTTCCAGGTCACCTTCAATTCACAGCAAGTCAGGCTGGCTCTCGTGTAGGAATGGGATATGAAATTTCATTTGGAAAAAAAAAAAAGAAAACCAGTGAGAGAAGAGTCAAGGGAGTGTGGGGAGGAGCTGCAGCCTAGGAGGGTTTCTGCAGAGCCTGTGGCTTGGGAACTTCTGGACTTGGAACCATTGGCACTGGCTCTGGAGGGGGCAAGTCGCTGTGCCTCCCTGAGCTGTAACTGACACTGCCTTAAGGGATGGTAAGAGGAAGTGAAGGGTGGCACAGACAGGCACCAAGGAGGAGTGTTGTGGTTGTGAGTGTGGCTGCTGTTTTGATTTGCCTCCTTGGCAGAAGTGGATTTGTACCTGTCCTTCTGAGCAAGGTGACCCCCACCCCCAGCACCTTGCTGTGCCTAGAGCCACAGAGTAGACCAAACAGAGCCAAGGTCTAGGCCACAGACCTCCAAGCCTGGAAGCCCCGACTTGGTCCTCTTTCTTGTTGACTCAACCCCAGGGCAACTCAGAGCCAAGGTTGGGACATGGAGAATGGTGGGGACAGCAGGCTGGGGTGTGAGCCAGCCCTGGGTCAAGGGAGCACTCAGCTCCTCCCTGTCTGGCTCTGACACCCCTGGATCCTGGATAACCCTCCTGTGCTGAGCAGCTAGCTGCTCTGCTGCTTTGCCCCGTGGTCTCAGCCCTGATCTTTGGCCCATGTAGTGTCTGTCTCCTTCATTGTAGAAAGTCCTGCTTTCTAGGTGGGAGGGTAAAAATTCCCTACTCCGACCCTGGCCTTTTCTGTAAGTGAAGGATGTCTCACTGGTACTAAAGGCATCTGATTAAATTTGTTTGAACTTGACTCAGGGTAAGGTCAAGTTAAGGGTCAAACCGGATTAGTGTCTGCTGAGATTCAGGCCCTCTGAGGAAAAAGTGTGGAGAAGCCTCATGCCTTTTCTCTCATGGGTGTGCTGAGGAGCTGTATTGGCCCCAGTCTAGTCTACAGTTTTATAATGACCTGGACACAGTTGACACAAATCCAGGGTGGACACTTAACACAAGGGAAGCCCATGATGTGGAGGCATCATTACAGCACTGACCTGAGAGAGTCACTGAACCTCTCTGGTCTCAGTTTCCACATCTGTGTCAAGGAGGAAATGACCCCTAGCCGTCTCTCATTGGGATTCATTGAGAGAAAGTTCAACAGAGGTTAGTTCTATTCTCTTTTTCTCTAAGGCACCCGAATTCACAAGATGGAGACGGGAATGGAATAAACCAGTCAGGCTTATGCAGCTCCTAAGACCCTGGCCTGGCAGCCCTGGCCCCTGCCTCCCTGGTCCTGGGGGGACAGTGACTGGGGTGGAAGTGAGCTCACGTTTAGTTTTGCGCCTGAGTATCGAGCAGAGAATGGATATCCCCCAGAGCCAGACCCCCAGCCCAGCCCCGGGTCTCCCCGGGCAGTGACCTCATTGCTTTCATGCACTTCGTGGTCGATGAGCTGTAGCAGGAACCACATGATGTTTCGCAGGATGAAGGTGGTGATGAGGTTCCAGTGAATCACGTTCCGCAGGCAGCGGATGCTCCTGTGAGAGGCCCCGGGCAGGGGTCAGCCAGCGTCAGCTGGGGTGAGTCCACCTGGGGTCAGAGCTCAGATGGGGCTGGGACCAGGGTTCAGTGGGGCTCAAGGGTCAGCTGAGACTGAAGTCACCCTAAGGCCAGGTAGAGACCAAGCCTGGAGTGGGGATAGGGCTACCCCAGGAGCCAATTCCCACCATGGAGGCCCTGGTTGGGCCTGCTTGGCATCCCACAGGCCTGCTGATGGTCAGTGCCCAGCACCAGGCCCATCCCTCCTCTGTCAACTGGCTCTAAGGTGCTCAGAGCAGAGGTGAGATGTCCAGGAGAGATGAAGAGGAAGAGAAGGCAGGTTGGGAGGCAGACTTACCTCAGAGCCAGGAAAAGCAGGAAGGCGGCCACCAGGGCTGCCACAGAGACACAGTGGCCCAGGTAGTTGACAACGAGAGCTATGCGGTAGTGCAGGTCATATTTCCTCTGCTGGACAGACAGACAGACAGACACGGGAGACGGGGGCCATGAACATGTGGGGGTGGGCCTGGGTACTCCAGCCATGCCCATCCCTGTGTGTCTTGACCTTGGGGGCAGCAGATGCTCCAAGTGTCACCACCATGCCTCAGTCTCCACGAGCTCACTCCTGTTGGTCTTGGTGGCTCTTGTTATAATTGGCTGTGGCCAGGCCTCCCAACATGCATTTTTTTTAGGGGGGGCACATTTGGATATGGTCTATTCTGAGATATCCCAGAAACATATATACAGATTCAGAAAGAAGAGCCAGATGTGGCTCTATAATGCCACATCTGAGTTGAATCTCTGCTGAGCCCCCAGATGGCTGAGCACCTGAGGGTGAGCTAGTTCATGTCTGGGCCTCAGTTCTGACATCTGTGCATTAGTGTCAACCTGCCTTCCTACCTCAGAAGCAGCGACCTATGGGAAGCCTGGAGATGCCTGGGGATGGGTTTTCCCTGGGTATAGCAAAGAGGGAGTCCAGCATCAACGGAGCATTAGACATTCAAACTGTCCGTCAGTCAGTTTGTTGTTATCGTCAGGTACTGGCAATGCTAAACAAAGCCAGTGGACTCCCTCCAGCCAGGGTGAGTCAAGGCCCCACCGCACCCCCACTTCCAGTCACCACTGACTTTTGGCCTCTAAGAATGAAGAAATGAGGACAGAGAGCTGCCCGGGGCTTCTTTCTATCCAAACCTTATGACCCCCTGCCTGCCCCTCTGTGGCCTCACTTCCTCAGGGGAGGCAAATGCTTTTTCCTCTGGAGTGGGACTTCATTTGGGGCAAAAATTCCCCCCCCCACTGAGGACTGTGTTGGGTGAGAGAGGAGAGGATGGCGCTGGGATCAGGAGAGAGGCACAGCTTGCTGGGGGTGTGGCTCAGTGATAAAGTGCTTGTCTGTCACGTGGGGGGCCTGGGATCAATGGCTAGCACTATAGTGACCACAGCAAAAACAACAACAACAACAACAACAAAAAAAAAAACAACTCTCTCTAGAGTGATAGTGGAGCAGAGCAGGAGAGGTCCCAGCATAAAGGACCCAGCTTCCTGGGAGATGGGCCTTGTGGGAGGCTACACTTGTTTTCACATGGAGTCACAAAATCAGAATGCCAGATGAGGAAACCGAGGCTCAGGGGAGGAGGAGGGTGTGCAGTCACAGCCTATTAGATGTTGGGGAGCACTGGTCATGTGGTCATTTCCTTTTTGTGTCCCATGCTGCCTTGGCCCAAGCTCTCCTGGAGATGGGACCCCTTGTCCCCCTTCCTGACTCCTACCACAGTGTCACTGAGACAGGGTAGGACAATAGGGATACGGGCATGAGGCACACAAATGAATGGTTGGGCGACACAGAACTGGTTCTGTCACCCTTGGGATCCTCTGTGCTCAACCCTAGTCCTAATACCTATATGAGGACCAGGGTCATGGCAGTTGTGGAGGGTATACTTACCTTGTCATCCAAAATGGGTTCGCACTGTGAATAGTTGATCTTTGAGGCCCACGTCCCGTTGTCTAAGCATTCTCGGTAGGCATTCCCTACAAAAGATTTCAGTCACCAAGAGTCGGGTCACTTCCACGCCTCAAGAACCCTCCCTGGCTGCCTGGTGCCTGCAGGATAAAGTCCACCTTCTTTAGTTTCCCTGGGTCCAGAAATATAAGGCACCTCTGAAAATCTAAGTAAAAGTCATTTACGTGTAAATTGCACCCAATTGTGAGCAATTTTGTGTCTAAAGGTTTGATGCCTTTAGCAGAATAAATAATGGCCACCCTTCCCTTGGTCACTTTGTATTTATGAGTTCCATAGTTCTTTTCCCCAGTGTGAGCATTTGCATTTTAGCACCAGCTACCAAGGGCATAGCGGGCATAGCGTGTGTTTCCAGGTGCCAGTTCTTCTTCTAAACGCTTCAGAGATGCTTGTACATTCGATCCTCATGACTCCCACCACAGTGTTACTGAGACAGGGTAGGACAATAGGGATACCCTATGAAGTAGGTACTAACACAGAATCCACCCATTCATAGGGAGGAAGCTGGAAACAGAAGCACAAAGAGATGAAGCTGCTGGCCAAGGACACTGAAAAAAGAAGTCCAACCCAGGTCTGCCTCTGGGCTTTGTATTCGTGACCTTTGGGCTTCTAAGTCAAGGTGAACAGGCCTGAGGGAGATTTGGGCTGTGTTCCTGCCCCTGAGCTGCCGCTGCCTGGGAGAGCACCGTGCCATGTCTCCAAGTGTTCGGGATCCAGCATCCTCCTTAAAGTTGGATTATGGTTCATGAAAAGGCAGCAACGTCTAACGTCCAATGTAGAAAAGTGCACTTGGATTAAAGGGGAAGGCACAAAGGAGGAAAGCTGCTGGTACCTGCCCTTCTCTGGGTCCTAGCTCTGACTACTGTGGGTGGAGGTTTAATGCCTGAGCCACCCCCTGGGGACATCGTGCCCTTAACTTCCAACCAGGAGGGCCTCCTCCCCACTCCAGAGGACCCCCAGAGCCCTTTGTCTGCCTCCGCTCTGCATTACACCATGAGCTGCCTCGCCGCCCCCTCTTGACTGCAATTCTGAACAGTGCATCGTTTGGGGGTGATATGTACCAGGGTTCTGCTCTGGCTAATGGGCAGTTTTTTTGTGTATTTTTTCTTTTTGGCTTATGTTCGATATACAATACAAAGCTAATGAAAATAAATAGCTCACAGAGCACCAAGTCACAGGGCTGGAGGGGGAACCTTAGATTGTATTTGGAAGCAGCAAGTTCTGAAATAATTAAGTTACTTAAAAACCCACTTCCGTTGGGCCGACAGTGAGTTAAAAGCAATGGAATTATTAAGGAGCACTTGCCAGAGAGCAAAAACAACGGGGAGATTCTATTAGCTTAATTATTCTTTAATTTGGTGCTCTGAGCTCTGATTTTTCAAACTCAGGGTTATGGCCAGCCTAGTCCTGCCTCTGGGGCCTGTCAGCGTGAGGCCCGTCTCTGGCTGGTTGAAGGAGTCAGTCAGGGGATTGTCCTGGTCTTATCCTGACCCTTGAGGAGAGGAGACCTGTCCCTCACCCTTGTCCCTGGCAACTGACTCCCAGGTGGTCTTGGACCTCTGATGCACATCTTTCTCACAAACATTCATTCCACATTGTGATTCTGAAGTGGGCAGGAGGTGGGGGGACTGTCTCCACATGTGAGCCAGTGACGTCACTGAAGGAAAGAATAAAGGTATCCTGGCAGATGAGAATAAGGGCAGATCCTTTGTAAGATGCACACTGTCTTTCTGATGGGGGTTTAGAGTCTCTGTGAGGTGCATGAGGGGTGAGATGAAACAGACCCTAATTTGGGTGAGAGCTGAAAGGGCAGAAACAACGATCTTCTTGGAAAGTGCTCATAGGTATCCAGTTTTCCTGAAGTTCAGGGAGAGGTCCCTTCCTTCAGGAAGGCCTCCCTGATTACTCCCATCCCCTTGATTTCTCTCTCCTGAGCACCCTCAGTCCTGTCCACCCCAGCCCCACACTCCAGCCCTTGTCTTGTGACCAGTCAGAGTTGTCCAGGTGTGAATCTGGTCTCTCTGAGAAGTGTGGGGGATCTCTGAAGTCAGGGTTTCAGAATATCTGTTTCCCAAGCATGACATCTCGTGGGGACACTGACTAGGAGTGGGCTTGTGGAAGGGAGTGGGGTCAGGATGGAGAGGCTGCAAAGGGAAGGCTTTTCTGTCCTCCCAACAATGCCTCGAGGCCCCTGAGTGCCATGGATTCTGTCCCTTCCTTTCCTTGCTCTGCAATCCACCTCCTCCTGTCCCTCTCTCAGCACTTTCTCCAGTCCTTTTGCCTGGACAGTCTTTTCTTGCCTCCCTGCTGCTTGTCCTGACCCCTCAACCATGCTGATTCCTGCTTAAAAGCCACAAATACTCTTTACTACTTTAAGAATAAAGTCCAACCTTCTTGACATGATACTCAAGGCCCTCAACACCCAGGCCCACGTCTCCCAGTCTCCCTTGCAGTTGACACTGTGCTAACAGGCCTGGCACAACCCCGCTCTGTGCTGGCCCAGCCTTAAACACCCTCCTGAGTCCCACTCACTACTCACAGCAAACTCCTCTCTCTTGAACCCCAGCTCAAGTGCCACGTCCTCCATGGATCCTTCCCCAAAACCCCAGGTCTAAAGCAATCTTTTCTTTTTTTCCTCTAAGTACCTTCTATATATTCCTACCTCTTGGAACATAGGCCTTCACACTTCATTGTTCTTGAGCCACAATAACACATTTTTGTATCATGATCCAACACACACATACACACAGACACACACACTTGCCTGAAATCCAGTTTCACAGAGTGAAATGTATCTTGGAAACCGCTACAATGTTTTTCTTTCTATTCTGTTCTAATGTATTCTGTTCATTTCATATACAAATGCTGGTCATGACCCACTAAATTGATTTCACAGTCCACTATTGTCCCACAATCCATAGTATGAAAAGCAAAAATCTATTTCAGATAGATTGTCGTAATTCTATGGACTGTGTCTCTTTGGACCTAATCCTTTTCTTTGCTCCCAGACTTGAGATCCCTAGGGACAGACAAATAGGTAGAGACCATACTGAAGTCATTGGATCCCTCATATTGGAGTCATTGGGTCCCCCCTTTCTCAGCAACAAGCCATTGAGTCCCTGTGGGTTGAATTGAACTGGTTTGGATTGGCTGAATCTTGAAAAGCAGGGTCTGAGATGTGGCATGTGGGATGGGAGGGACTTCCCTCTAGGGGCCCAGCCCTGTCTGGGGCTGAGGTTCTGGCTACAGACACTGGGATCCAGAAGACCGGAAGATAGACGTGTCCGCTGCAGCTAATGAGGGCACCGAGCCCTCAGGCACAGCTTTGGATAAAAGAGAGGAAGAGCCCCTCCCCTCAGGAACCACAGGAGGATGGCCATGGAAAGACTGAGGGCAGGTGGCAACGCCAGAACCACGGGGCTGGAGACGAGGTGGGTACTCGTTACCATAACAACACAGGTGCCCCTGCTGAGGATCAATGCTGATGGTGTGCTATGTGGCCTGCCAGGGGCATTAGGTTCTGAATGGTGCAGGCGGGGTCTTCCACAGCAGGGCTCTGTGGTTCAAGGCTCTGTAGTTTAGGTAGCCTGTCCCTATCCCCAGAGTGGCCCTGACCTGTTAAAAGTCCCTGAAGCAACAGGTTCTCCCCCCTGTCAGTTGTTAACACTTTGATAGTAGTCCTTGGTTCAGTGACTCATCAAGGATAGTCCAAAGGCCTGGCTAGGAGATGGGGGTTATAATCTAGACACAGTGTTAACCCTGGCTGGCTAGATGACCATGGCTAAGTCATATCTCTCTTGGCCTCTGTTTCCCGTCTCAGGAAAAGTAAGTAAATTGGTTCCCAATGATGCTATTAGCATCTCAGGTGAGTCAAGTTTTTGGTTGTGTGAGGCTTCCCAATTTACTGAATGCCAATGAACCACCAAGCCATGGCAACTCCAAACATGCCTACATTACTTTCAAGTGCTCCCTAGATTGGCGCCTCTATCTCTGAGACAGGGACCATGGAAGACAGGGGCTGGGATGAAACAGTTTTGGTGGTAGTTACAGTGGAAACAGTGCAAAGACAGGTGAGGTAGGGAGGAAAGATCAAAGGAAACTGTGGGGAAAGCAGTATGATCCTTGGCTAATGGAAAGAAAATGGCAAGAAGGGAGATAGAGAGAGAGAAAGTGATGGCAGAGAGGTGGGGAGGGCCAGAAGCAATATTTACTGAAAGAACGAGATCAGCACAAAGGCCCAGAACTTTCAGCACCACGGACAGCAAAACTCTACTGCACCCTGCCCAGAGCAGCCCCAGTTCCTCCAGGTGGTTTCCAAGACTGCTCTAGCCCTCCTGAGGGTCCAGCTGCTCACTTCTGCCTGGCTCACACTGAGCTGCAGCTGTTTTCTTGATGGTCCTGTAAAGAAGTCATGTTTCCCCATCTATCCCAGAGTCTCCCTGGAGCAAGACTTTACCTTTTTCTGCACAAGGTCAAGATCCCTTAAGAGGAAGGCTTGGGTGGCCCCTTCCTTCCTTCCTTCCTTCCTTCCTTCCTTCCTTCCTTCCTTCCT